GCAAATTGCGGTGGGGATAAAATTTCCTCAACTGTCGACTTGACCTGACTATTATAAACGAGCTTTTCGAAGGTCCTCGCAATTACAGGTGTAATATTTATTCCACGAAAGTCACCATCTTCCTTTGGTAAATCAACCTTTGCAAGAGGGTTAATATTCGCTCTTTTCCATGAATCTGGCCAAGTATGTGATGAAAGGGACAAATTCCAGACGTTAGTTATAACTTCGGTTAGAATTTCCGCATGATTACTGTATTCCAAACCCAATAGGGAATATAATCGGGACCTGTTGCTGTCCTCTTTATTCTTTTCAAGGCATTCCATACCTGCTGTTCCGTAAAGCTAGGAATATCTACTTCATCACCAATAATTGAGAGCGTCGGTTCGACATAACTATCATCGTGGCAGAGTTCGCCAAAGTAGCGACTTAATCTTGTAAGTGATGCATTATCTAAAGTAACTCTTGATGACGATGCATTTCGCTGAGTATAATATCATTCGTCTTTCTCCACCAAGTTCTACTTCCCACCAAGGCCCTAAAATTTCTTCTGTTTTGACAAATGACATCAGAAATCCTTTTGTTAATTAAACTGAGTCTATCCTTTTGCGACCGAGCAATTCTGGATTTAGATTTTAGCAAAGATTTAATTAAAGGACTCATCCAGTAAGGGTCACTTGACGAAATTGAGACTGTTTTTGTGGGCATACATTTATTCATATGATCCATGATCTTACGTTCAAGACAATTCACAGCGTCATTTACATTCGTGGACTGCGATACATCCTCCCAATCTTCTTCTGCTAAAGCTTTGTGGAAATCTTCCTTTCGATGCTTTCTACAATCCCGAAATTCAACCTTTCGGCGCATAGGTTTTAGTTTCGTTCCTGCTGGTAAAATAACCCCTATGTGGTCTGTTTTAGTTAACATATGGAAAGGATAACATTTTGAGAACAAATCTATTCTATTTGTAAGGCAGTTATCCAAACATGTGTTACCCCTTGTTGAAAAGTCGACCATTGCATCCCATCCTGATAGTTCCTCAAGGTGTTTTATGTCCAAACTGTTCAAATCCCCTCCACAAACAATTACAGTGTCTGGATATTTGTCCAGAACGTCGTCAGAAATATTTATCAAATAATCCAATAAGTCGCTCTCCAGATAATTGTGCCTAGGTGGGTGATAAAAGCCATATATGGACATGCGGTTTCCTGTAGGTAACAGAAGTGTGACACCAATAAGTTCGTACAAACTGGATCGATAAATATCAATAACTTTTAAGTTGTTCCGAACATATATTGCTACCCCTCCTTTTGCTCTCATATCGCGTCCTTCCCAACTTCTATCTCTTCTAAATATTGAATAATTGTGAATGGTCACCACAGCATCTGGCATTTCAGGTTTCAGGTGACTCTCGCTCACCACACATACATCTATATCGTTATTGACCAAGTCTGCCTCCAGTGCAACTACAGCGCGTACTCGATTTTTTGTTTTTGCCAGACTACATATGTTGATAAACATAAACTTAGGAACAGCAAAACCCGACTCTCTCGAAGGAACTTTTCTTGTGGATGTTAAATTAATTGGAATTAATGCCTTGTAATTGGGAACACGTGATGTAACAGGATATTTCTTTTTTTCTCGGTTGCGCAATGGTTGGTATCGGTTGTTGTATTGTATAATCATTTTCATGGTTATTGGTTTTTGCACAGATTTGCGCTAAACCAATGTTTCTATTCGTTGTAAAGGAAATGAAGGATGGCGGGGTAACTTGGGTGGATTTGTCACTGTCATGCGAACAAAGTTTAGATATGCTTGCCACTCCTTCATAAAATTCCCAGGTTTTGTCCATGGTATGGTTTTTGCGTCGGACGCAAAGTCATCCGATACAATCTAAACATAGCCTAAGGAAATGTATTGATGCGAACACACTATAAAGATCTGGACTAAAGCCACCATTCAAGGAATTAAGCCGTGGAAAATTATCCATGCGAAAACAACAAAATTTACTGTCATGGCTTGTAATATATAAAAACAAACGCCAAACAACTTCCTTATAGATGCATCAATCCTATCAGTTCATACATTAATCATTATGCAAATCAACGTAAATCTTAATTATCATTTGTCATATCAACTTTGCACTATCCTTGGGATCTCTGAGTTTATAAATGGAGTATATTTCATTCATACAGTAAGTACACAGTTAGATAGAAATTAAATTTAAAACATGTTTTTTATGGTTCACCTATTAGCTCATATATTAGCAGCTTTCTTAATTTGTTTGCTGCATTTGAAAACGTATGAGAATTGAGAATAACATTTTATGACAGCTGAACATTTTTCAAAAAATATTTGTTAGATATTTGAAAATATCTTTTCATGACAAAATGCTATAAATACAGTATTATTTCATTATTTTTGAAAAAATAGGTACGCGACGCGTACATGTATCTGCGAAAAAAACTTGATTCACATTTTGTATTTTCTTGAAAGGAACTGAATAACGAAGATGACATGGGACAATTTGAATATTTCATCACTTATTAAAATAAATATAATAGTAAATACGGTTTTAAAGTCAAACATAATACACATCTAACAGGGCTGTACACAGCAGGTAGGGCAACCTTCAAGAAAATTTAACCAATTTTATAATGTGATTATAATTGTAATGGATAATTATGCAGTCAGGAAATAAAACTTTCATGCAAACAATATTCAAAGTGTCTATACAGCCAGCTATTTAGTAAAATGTCACTTGTGAATTTAATAATCCATACTCATTGAATTTTCAAAACTTTATTGTAATCATATGAAGCAAAGTTCTGAATTTTCAAAACTTTATTGTAATCATATGAAGCAAAAGTTCTGTCACTTGTTGTTTACACTTGTCAATGTTAAATTAATTGTTGAGTGACATAAACTATTTGAGGAACATGCATTACTGTACCAAAGAGTCAATCATATATCGAAGACCACTGAATAGTTGAGAATGTTTTGAAGATCATGAGTGACGTATATGGTTCAATTCCAATATTGTCCACAGTTAATATAAAATATACCACACTGTTAGGTTTAACACAGCATATTCACACAAAAACAATTTGTGTTGTGGGAGAATATCGGTTTGAGTAGAAGGTACAGTATCACAAGTTTAGTTTTGTACATTGTGTGCCATTGATCTGATCCATCCATATAATACATGATTCACTATTTCTATTACAATAAAGAGCGAACTAGAAGCAATGGTTGAAAGAGTTGGGTACATGTGTCATTACACATATTGTTTTGTTTTAGAGGTTTATCCATTTATTAAACTTTGCCTGTTACTGTAAATATCTTCTTTATTGGATAGTTTATTCCCAGGAATTGCAACATGTTTCTTATACTATCACTCACATTGACAGGCATACTTTTTCTTCACATAACTGGCTATACTATAAATATACTGTAGGTATACAGATGTAAGGACATTTTGAATTTGACAAAAGTGGCCAGTGGGCCACAGACATCTGACATGTTCAAAATAAGACAAAAATGTCTAAAATTATGGCAGGCCCCAGAGATAGCTACAGTATGCGATACTGCAATAATTTTGCAAATACAAAAATATCGATTTGATGAACATTCTAGCTATGATTCCGGTTATTGATCTCATTAAACCAAGAATAGTTACAGTATTAAAGCCATGTGAAGTTTCGCCAAGCCAAACTGTGAAAATTTAGCTAAAAATATTTATTTGATATCCCCTGCAAGAATGATAACATAGAGTGGTGCCAGAAAGTTTTTTTTTGGGGGGGGGGCATTACGTTACGTGGCATTCCCGCTAAAAGCGGTGCGATGACTTTGACTTCGGAAAATAGATTTCCTTTATTTTTTGTGTGTTGAAAGGCATTGGTATACAAGTGTCCAAAATAAATTTATTTTTTGAAAATTCTTTTTTATGGCTTCGCTAGACGCCGAAACTCATTTTACCTGTGCAGAGCTATTTTCAAGCAAAATCGCAGGTTGAATTTCGGTAAATTGTAGAGTCGCGCTGAGTCAAAACGCCTGACTATTTCCAAATTTCAACTAGATCAACAAGTTAAGATACAATTCTGGTTCCCTGTTCCAAAAAATAACAGCATTTGAATAAATCGTGAATAAACGACAGCAACTTGACGGCACACCGGTTTTTGCTTCTTGTTCGGTCTACAAAATTACACTAAAATCGAAGCCTGAGATCTCCAAATGGGGACCTAAAATTACGCTGAAATGTGCTTGGCTGTAATGATTTATACTTATTTTCAGAAGATCTGAAGAAAAACCTGCGGGTATCAATCTGTATTTGGCGCGAGTTACGATTTTCTGGAGCCCATAATCAATGATTTTTGCATAATTTATAGCTAATTAACATATTTCTTGAGAGGCGCTAAAAGTAAACAATTTCTTTCTGACTAACATATCTCAGATAAAAGAAACTACCACAGCTAGTAAAACCCTTTTTGTAAATATAGTCGTAATGTTCTTTTCTTGACACGCTGAAAGAGCTTTGTTTTGAATGTTAATATGCCACATTCATTCAGTTCTGACCAGATTCATTATAAATGTCACGAACTTGTATATTTCAAATATATTCGATATCCTTTTTCAGAAAAAATGGCATTGCTCTTGGTGTGAATCTGATTTAAAAAGAAAGAAATGTGTTTGGACATATAATAATTGATAGAATGTACAAAACTGATATTTAACAAATATAAAACATTTAAATAATATCTTGTGACATTTCAAAGGTGCCGGTTCCACAGTTCATAATATGTTCATTTTTACATATGGACTAACTCAATTTGCACTTGAAGTACTAGATATTCAACTTGCCTTAGTTTATAATACATGCATGTGGAAATACATAACAGTATGCCAAAGAAAGCGGTGGTGAATCGCAACGTTTTTCACTAGGGTGTGATCCTCCTACGCCCTCTTTCAATTTAATTTGATAAACAAACAGCCGCGGCAAAATGTCTTGCTTCATGTTGTTGAAGGATGGAGCTGGATGTGGGGAATTTATGGGTAAAGATAATCTGGAACGTCTTAGTAACTGCAAGCAAGATGTCGCAGCTCATTTGAGGCGGTATCATTTGTCCAAAGAATGTCTTTCAGAGTACGATTTGATTTTGCTGCGGGCCGAGTTTCTGAATGTGGCGACTTCACAACTGGAAAACATGCTTGTGTGTGCTCCAGACATCGAGGCAATCTTGGAGTTCACTGGAGAGGAAGAACAGTATGCCAATATCCTGAACATAAAGGCACACAAGAAAGAGCTAAATGTGACTGAGCATTCACATTGAAACTAGTTAAGGAAGTAAACAACATCTTCGAGGTTATTGTGCCAATCGGGTCACGTGAGTATCCTCTATTTGAATGCAGTTGGGTGATTACTTGTTAATATTAGTAAACTATTACCTTTATACCTGTTTATGATCCCGTCTAGACGTTTCGGGACGGACCATTAGAAAATAGAATTTTTTTCATGTTTACAATTTTTTTCAGGTTGCAATTAATGCATGTATGTAATTTTTTTATGGATATGTTACAATTTTGTTTTGAGACGTTCCTATTGCATGTTTTTTATTTTTTACCTTTTATGCTTGTATGCATTTTTTTCTGTTTTCCCCCCACCCCCTTCACAGTTTTCTAATGGCCCGTCCCTTAGCGGGGCGAGGCGGGATGGCGTATTTATATATATGAACAGATTTCACAGCCGGTTTTATACGAGTTTGATGCGCGGGTAATTTTGGCGGGAAGTTTGACAATTATTTAAGATCGGTATCTATGTTACTATACGACTTTCGTCAAGAATTTTCCGATTATTTAATGTTTTAGCTGTTTAAATCATATTATGCTAATGTTGTGAAATAAGCAAGAAAAAATTAATATTATATTAAATTTATAACACTAAATAATAATAAACTTTATATTTTAATATCTAAATTTTGAGATTAGATAATTGGACAGTGCTACTATATTTGGTATGATTGAATTAGGGAAAAAAGGAAAGTTGTTATTGTGTTAAGTTGAGTTGAGTTGGGGAATGTACTGATACGAAAATACTGTGATTTACTGTGAGAGATTTTCAAAAACCTTACAAGAAAAAACTGGGTGATTTTTCTCTATTGCGGAGATCAAACAAATGTACCACACTAATGAAAGGAATATATAATTCGTTGCATTTTTATAGCTCTAAACGAACTTATGCTCAACCCGGCTAGCCAGGATGAAGTGTTTGTATAGCAATTTCTCATCCTGGCTAGGCAAGATCCCAAAAAAAGTGGGATAGGTGGTAGGATTATATAAACACTCATTGGATTTTGTATTACAAGCAGGATCTGAATCTCGGCAAGCGTCCCGTCCCGGCCCTATCTAAGTAGGGCCTAAATAAATAGGCCCTAAAATAAATAGGCCCTAAAATAAATAGGCCCTAACTGTTAACTGTTTTTTGTTCCTCAGTTGTGCGAACTTGAAGCATGTCGATTTATACAATATTTCACTCATTTCTGTCTGTCTGTCTGTCTGTCTGTCTGTCTGCCTGCCTGTCTGTCTGTCTGTCTGTCTGTCTGTCTGTCTGTCTGTCTGTCTGTCTGTCTGTCTGTCTGTCCGTCTGCCTCCCTTCCTTCCTTTGGTTATTATCAAACTGAAAAATGTATACTTAGTCGTTTAATTTCTTATTCTAGCAATTTGTAACAGCTGCAGAAAAAAACATCAGGATATTCTTAAGCAAAATTGTGAATCATTGCTCAAGTCGGAAAATTACAAAGAAGAACCACCTATAAATCAAGAGTTATCAAGGTAATGGCAACCGTACCCTACCTATCTATGGGTGTGGTTACTGGAAATAGACAAATACTAAATGGCTACATTACACCACTATATGAAACAGTTTATTATTATTATTATTATTATTACTGTTATTATTATTATTATTATGCATCACTTAAAAGTCGCAGTTGGTGCAGATCTTCGACTGTTTGCGGACTGTCCTAATTCAGGTACGACGTGTATTTCAACTTTATTTCGAACGCTAAGACCTGATATAGTGGTGGATTTTAAGGGTTCTGTATATGTGGTTGAATTAACTGTTCCCTACGAAACCAATTGTACGAAGGCTAAACGTCGCAAGAAAGAAAGATACAGACATTTAATATCTGAGCTGATCACGACGTGTTATGCGTTTGAAGTTACTACACTTGAAGTAACCACTCTAGGGTTTGTGTCGAAAGATATTGACAGATTTCGTAGATTATTACGAACACTTGAAATGAACGACGAACGTATTATTAAAAAATGTATGGAGGTAGCTCTGAGAGCAACATTCTACATTTACTGCAGAAGAAACAAGCCTTGGAATAACCCAGACTTACTGAATTTTTATTAGCTACTATTGATATAAAGTGTAGAGAATGAACCTATCTGTCTAATATAGTGAACTGTTTCTCTATTTTCCTGATTTAATTGAAAGTCTAATTATGTGATATTTGTATAAATTATCATGTTATTAATAAAGATTTCTGTTGTTTAAAAAATTATTATTATTATTATTATTATTATTAAAATGTTGTATTTTTTATTCAGGAAAAGCAAAGATGATGCAAAAAAAACTCTTTCACTATTGCCACCACTAACTCCTGGTTGTAAGGCTAGTGAGGATCCTGCCTGGACCCCTGGCCATTGGCGTGCAGAGCAGGGATACGATGATGACATGTCAGAAGAACGTCCAGTACGACAGACTGTTCTACAAGTCTACAATGATGCAATAAACCAAATCGCTGGTATAACCGACTTGAAGACCATAGAGCCTCTTACTTTCAGACTTCAATGTGAATGGGATGTAGCCACAAAAGACGAACAATTAATATGTAAAGAAAAAGTTGATGAAGCATGCCAAGTCGTTTGCAAAGTTATCGCCCCAAATGCAAGTGAGGAGCTCTTGCATGCTTACAAGCAATCTGTAAGAACAGATAGCGAAATTGACACACTCACAACTGCTTACAAGAATGCTCCAACGAAGACTCTAAAAACTCAGATACTAAGTATATATGCCTCAAAGTACTCGTGTGATGAGCTGAAGAGGATCCACGCTCCTTTCGAAAATCTCAGTGAGCGACAGATAAAGAAAGCAAGAAAACATGCAAAGATTATTGGTGCTGGTATGGCAATAGAGAAAACACACTTTCACAGGGTGCGAATTGATTCAGCAAAGCTCAATCACTTCCTGTCGTTTATCGACCAACCGTATTTCTATCAAGACGTTGCATACGGGACAAGACATCTAAAGCTAGAATCTGGCGAGAAATTGGTTATGCCGAACGTTGTGCGAACAGTAGGAAGATCGACAATGATTGAACTGTATTTCAAGCAGTGCAGAGAAGAAGAATTTCATCCTCTCGGGCGGTCTACATTGTACCGAATCCTTAAAGTGCGCGAAGCTTCTCAAAGGAAGTCACTTCAAGGTTTGGACAATATCGCCGCTGGTGGTGCCGATGGGTTTGACACAATGCAGAACGTCGTCGACATTCTAGAAGAAAGTGGTGCAAACGCCAAATGGTGTGATAACGCGCGGAAAGGTCTGAAATCTGGAAAACGGTATTTGAAGACGGAGTACAGAGCACACTGTCGTGATGTGGCCAACCCTTGTCCTGACCACTGCCGGAAACATGCACTAAGTGACCAATACGCTGAGTTTCAAGTTAACTGTAATCATGAGCACTCTTTGACCTGTGACAGTTGTGAAGCTTTGAAGTCTGTACTGTCCTCCTTCTCTACACAAGTTCAGTCGCCAGAAATGAGCTTCTACAGTGAAGAGCAGAAAGATGACATTTTGTATGACATCCGCCAGGCGATAGACATGATTTTACAGTGGAAGGCACAGATGTTGAGGTCAGAGAATCAAGATATTGCCAAGACTAGGTTGGTCAAGTCTTTGCCAAGCGACGCCATTTTAGTTTTGATGGACTGGGCGATGAAATTCACTCAACTTAAATATAGAGAAAAACAAAGTGAATGGTTTGGCAAGCGAGGAATGAGTTGGCATGTGAGCTGTGTTATCTCGAGATCAGGTAAAACTAACTGCCTTCAAATTTCCTCGTATGTGCACCTCATTGATAGCTGCGAGCAGGACTGGTACGCTGTTTGCGCAATCCTGACTAATCTTCTTGAAACGATCAAAGTCGCCCAGCCGCACATCACTAAAGCGTACTTACGGTTGGATGGGGCTGGTTGTTACCATAACAACAACTTAATTGCTGCTATTAATGACCTTGGCAATCAAGCAGGAATACAAGTCATAAGGTAAATCAAGCTAGCATTTGCTTTATGCGTTACATGAAAGTAAATCAATGCAAATCAATGTGGGGGGAGGGACTTCCAGGCATTTTTTAGGGGAACGCTCCTCCCACGCCCTCGAACACTTGCCATTTGCTACACCAAATTTTTGCAAAACCCCTTTATACTTGAAGAAAAGTCCCGCCTTTATACAAAGGCCCTTTCCTATACTCAAAATCGCAAATTCCCTATCTTCTTTAGACCACAACTTGCAAATTTACCATATCATTGGTATACTGTGGCCTCGGAAAGTAGCAGGTTGAGAAAGTAGCCTTTTCGGACGTATAGTAGATAATAAGTAGTGCCCGTCCCCCCGGGCTGTAAGCTTATTTTATAATCTCATAACTGAGTGTGTGTTTTATGCTATTTTTATATAGATACGATTTTTCCGAGCCACAGTTTGGTAAGGATCTTTGCGACAGGATAATAAGTCCCCTGAAAGGTGCGATCAAACGATTCTGTAATGAGGGTAACAACATCCTGTGTGCATCAGATATGTATAAAGCACTGCAAGCAAGACCTGTTAAAGGAACCACCGCAGCTGTATGTGAGATTGAGAAGACTCCCGAAGAGTTCAAAGCCATTCGAATCAAGGACTTTAGTGCATTCCACAACTTTGTGTATGATAAAGAAGGACTTTTTATGTCAAAGGCATACGACATAGGTCCTGGGAAGCTTATGACATGGGCGGAGCTCGAAGTGCAAGGCCAATTTCCCATCAAGATAAACGTCATAGAAAATCAGTCCTTTTGTAAGCTCGAGCCAAGACAGATGAAATTATCGCAAAGTACGGGTGACGTCGACAAGGAAGAGGAGATCTTATTTGAGTGTTATGTGGAAGGCTGTTCGTCATCTTTTGCAACCCTTGGTGAACTACAAGATCACATTAGCTTTGGGGAGCATGATACAAAGGCTGTAAAGAGTAAAGAAAGTTTATATGACCAACTACGTAGAGAATGGGCAATAAAGTTTTCAATTTTATCAGCCGAATCCGAGAAGAAGCAAACAATGCAAGAAACACCGGCAACTAGTGACGTCCCGTCGAGAGAAGTAGCTGGGTGGGCTTTGCAAAAGCCAAGGGGTGGCAACAAAAGGTTTCCAGACAATGTGAGGTCTTATCTCACAGCTCGATTTGATGCAGGTGTGACTGGAAGAAAGGCAGATGCAGGACAAGTAGCCAATGATATGAGGAAAACAAGAAACAATGATGGCTCACGAAAGTTCAGCAGAGAAGAATGGCTGACCAAGACGCAAATCAAATCCTTTTCTAGACTATCCGCAGCAAGGAGGAAAAAACAAACCAACTTAGACGATAGTGATGAAGAATTGCTGGAAGAGGAGCATGAATATCGCAAAGAGGAGAATGTACAAGAAGAAGTCAACGATATGTTGAGAGAGCTGGCCGTAGAACATCCCATAACTTACGACGGATATGACATTTGTGATCACGTGAAATCAGGCTTGATATCAAAGTTCACTGTCAAGATCCTGAAAGATATTTGTGAATATTTCGACGTGGCCTTTAAGTCCAGAGACACGAAGACTATTCTGCTTAGCAAGATAACTTGCATGGTAAAGGAATGCAGCTGCTCCAGTTGAAGGTAACTAAATGATATTCAGAGCCCCACGGGGAAGTAGAAAATCTTGTTAAGCAAAGGGTTTCAAGCAGGATAGTTGAACGCTTCATTTTTAATTTAGCGCAAAGTTTCCTTTGCATTATTGTAATGGGGCTAAAATCCACACAAGTGACTCGTCAATAGATGGATGGTTGATCGATCGAAGGATCGAGTAAACAATCCGAGGTGTGATCCGACTGATGTTCTATTTTTAGATTATATCAAATTCAATGACTTATTTTTTTCAAACAGTGAAAGAGTGTTATTTTGAGCAATTGCATGTTCTATGTCATTTCCTTTCAGTTCCGTGCATGATATGTTGGACAAGTTTTATGTATTATGCAGTGGCGTAGCCAGACCTTCATTTTTGTTTGGGGGGGGGGGGCGAAGCGAACGCCTACGGCACGAGACCAACTAGGGGGGTCCGGGGCATGTACCCCCGGGACAATTTTGAAATCTAGAGTCCCTGAAATGCGATTTCAAGCATTTTGGGGGTGAAATCTTGCAGAACTCCGAAGATTATAAAGTACATCGAAGACATAAATTTCCCCAGACATTTCTACTCGGAATTAAATAAATTGGAAAAGTCAGCTTGAAAAACAGGAGGAGCCGGTCAGCGTCACCTTATTTCCCCTCTGCATGTGATGCTGGGGGAAGAAAATCCCAATGTGATTTTGATCAGAAAAGTTGCATTTAAATCATTCTAGGTGCTATGAGACAGCATTTCCGTATTCTCAAAATTGCGTTGCTTTTTTATACGATACAGAATAAGTCTGAGAAGAATATTCATGCTATATATGATAATGCATACATGTAAATCTAAACTAAATCTATTCTTCTTGGAACCATATCTACAACTGCTTTAACGAGATTTTACAAATCACGTTTCTCCAGTATACCGTCGTTTTCCTCAGTGGAGACGTACTTAATCAGTTTTAGCTTCGAGGATGTAACGTGTAGCCTTTAGCCTTTTTCAGAGAATGTTTTTTTTCGATTGGGGGAGGGCGGTCGCCCCCTCGCTCCCCCCACCCACCCCTGGCTACGCCACTGGTATTATGATTAATTTATTTTTGCGAGAACTGCAAGTCAGCAATATATAAAGACGCACAAAATAAGTATGGCGACGTGTTGTTAGTCAGTAGTGAGCTTAAGCAAGCGACGTTTTTGACAACACGATCGAACGGCATGAGTAACATTAAAAGACTGGGCCAAGAATGTTGGTTGGTTGATAACGTCAAAAACGTCGCTTGCTTAAGCTCGCTACTATGAGACTATGAGTGCTGGTCGAAATTTTAGAACAGGTTTTAGAGCAATGTCTGCATTGATGTACATTATTTGGCTGTCGGCAGTTGCTTGTACAGTAACTTATATTTATTATATTGTAAGGATTAGTAATAATAACTAGCGTGTCATTTTATACTATGCATGTTGACGATATGAATCAGACTTTTATATCTTGAATATTGAAAGTGTTGTGTGTAATTTAGGAGCAATTATTACTTATATTTGATTTCTGGTGTCATTTATTAGTATCTGAATTCAAAAATCAAGCTACAAAATGTATTTTATTTAGCGAAGCCTCACATATCGATTTTGTCCATGAGAAACGTCATATGGACGTTTCTCTAGAGACCCCCCACCACCACCCCCACCCCACGCTTAGAAACGACACACATAACTATCGATATTTTGTTCTTATAGTACACATAAGGTAATTTTCTACTATTTTCTACGGTCGGCTATTGGCGATGCTTCCGCGAGGAATATGTCATCTTCTACTGACATATGTTTTTATTAACATATATGAACTTCAAAATTTCCAACGTTTCTCAAAAACAACTTTTTTTTAATGAAATATTGACTTTAATTTTAGCGCGTTTTTCTTGAAATTTGAGTGTTTTCAATGCAAGAAAGGCGTAATAATATAAATTATATAAATGTATAGAACAGATATGGTTGTTTTCTTTTTTATATTCTGCATTATTTGCAAAGATGATTCCGAAATGTGAAGGCTTTCGGAAAAACTATCGAATTTTTCCATGACGTTTTACAGAGAAACGTCACAGCTGCAAACCCCCCTTCCAACCCCCAAACGAACATATGACGTTTCTCCTGGACAAAATCGATTTGTGTGAGGCTTCCCTTGGCTTGGCGAACTAAATCGGCAAATAAATAATTCGCTACAAGGCTACAATCAGGCCAAAGCCATGACGGTTGCCGGAAAAGAACAAGATAAAAAGTTTAATTCACAAACTTTTGAAATTTATTCTCAGCTATGGAGCTCACGAATATATTTTTTCAAAGAAAAATATTGAAATTCGATTATTTATAAAATTGACATTTTTGTTAGTTAAATTAAATAACTGATCAGAATGCTTATAATGCTTATAGACTATAGTTTATTTTGTTACATGGCTAAAACAAACGTCGCTACTATCGTAATAAACTGTGAAATGTTAGCTAATTTATATAAACAATGCGTATAATTTTTTTTATAGTATTCATCAAAATTACATACAATTAAAATTATGCTTTTTCTTTTACTAACCCAGCATAGAAAATTCCCATTTTAGTATTTATTTCGCGTTAAGTAAATTCAATTCAAACTTCATAAATAACATTCTGATATGTCGGTCATAAATTCGAATGTACATTTTTGTGTCGTATTTTGTTATGCCGTCGCCACAGAAAAATAGAACATATTGATAAAAATTCTAGTCCTAGGGGAAATGGAAACACGTGGAATGTTCTATTATACTTATAGTTTTTTAAATCAATCAACTAAATCAATCAACTGAATCAAGGAAAGAATAATCGGTCTTTCTGAATTCTGGTATATTTTTGAAATATACAAGTTCGTGACATTTATGAATCTGGTCAGACTGAATAAATGTGGCATAACATTCAAAAACAAAGCTCTCTCAGCGTGTCAGGAAAAGAACATTACAGCTATATTTACAAAAAGGGTTTTACCAGCTGTGGTAGTTTCTTTCATCTGAGATATGTTAGTCAGAAAGAAATTGTTTACTTTTAGCGCCTCTCAAGAAATATGTTAATTAGCTATAAATTATGCAAAAATCATTGATTATGGGCTCCAGAAAATCTTAACTCGCACCAAATACAGATTGATACCCGCAGGTTTTTCTTCAGATCTTCTGAAAATAAGTATACATCATTACAGCCAAACACATTTCAGCGTAATTTTAGGTCCCCATTTGGAGATCTCAGGCTTCGATTTTAGTGTAATTTTGTAAACCGAACAAGAAGCAAAAACCGGTGTGCCGTCAAGTTGCTGTCGTTTATTCACGATTTATTCAAATGCTCTTATTTTTTGGAACAGGGAACCAGAATTGTATCTTAACTTGTTGATCTAGTTGAAATTTGGAAATAGTCAGGCGTTTTGACTCAGCGCTGCTGTACAATTTACCGAAATTCAACCATCGATTTTGCTTGAAAATAGCTCTGCACGGGTAAAATGAGTTTCGGCGTCTAGCGAAGCCATAAAAAAGAATTTTCAAAAAATAAATTTATTTTGGACACTTGTATACCAATGCCTTTCAACACACAAAAAATAAAGGAAATCTATTTTCCGAAGTCAAAGTCATCGGACCGCTCTTAGCGGGACTGCCACTTAATATATATTGAAGTATACAATTGAAGTATATTTCCCACAACTTTGTGTAAATTAATGTTTTCTTACGTGAGTAGGATTTCCAATTTGGCAACACAGTCATCTTTAAGCCATCTCTCATTGAAGACGTTTCGTGCAATAACGGAAGTGACAATAACATTTCATAAGGAGATCAGCAACCATTTGTTTTGTTTTACATGGCCATCACATGTTTGTTTTATGTCACAAATATAACCAAAACGTGAATAAATACAATCCAAAACGTACCAGGTGTCAGTTGAGGTTTCACCAGACAATCTAGCAGACAGTGTTTGCTGCTTTTGCTCTCTCTCAGTTATAGTACTCTTCATGTATTGTTTCTCCAGTGGCAAGAGGTTCGACTGAAGTATCATAGGCCTCACACAAATCCACACTTTTCTCCATATTTATATCACCCCCGCTATCATAAGAAACGTTTTCGGCAAAAGAGAGTTCGCAAGATGATTGTGTTGCAAAATTGGAGCTGTAGCTTTCGTCAGAAGACATAATTTTGAACAAAAAACAGCCTAGTATAAGCCTTTGATAATATTAATTTCTCCTTCGGGAAAGAAGCGTGTTGAGTAGATGACGTCACAGCGCTTAACCGCAGGTCGGATTTTGCAGGCTCCAATAACTTAATGGCGGACGAATTTCTCGTAAAATATTTTGTTTTTGGACAGTTCTTAAGACAATTAAAAGTCAAACTGATTGGTTTTATTTTCATATTTGGGTAAGTAAATGTTATTACTGTCTGTTACACATTTAAAATCGAACATGATTTGGGATGATACTGCCCCTTTAAATGATGGAAGAGATTATTTCGCTGGTCTCAAAGTGACAAAACGTAACTTAAATTATTGAATTTTAATAAATTGAACTATGGCATTGGCACTTATATATTTTTATTTTTTATAATGTTATGTGAACCAACTGTAATTTGTGAGTTTGTCCAATTTTGTAATTAGTTAAGTGTACCATATATGTAAATCCTGATAGATAATCTTTATTTACCCACAGTTAACATATATAAATCTCGTAATATCATTTGACTAATATATTCTTCTCATTTGACTAAGGCTTTTCTTAATATATTCATACATGTACAAATGCTTAAATTTGATTTTCATCTGCACTAAATAACCTGCACGACAACCTGAAAAAGACTATATATGCATGTCTTACCAAATTTGTGAATTATGCCTTCACAACGTCAACAAGAATTAGTAAAACGATTTAGATTGAAGACATGCACATCGACACAACGTAAAATTGTGTGCAAAGGTGTGGGTCGAGTACAAAAACAGATTTAGATTGAGCAATCAGGATGCCAAGATGTTTAAAACATGTTAGAATGCAACGTTTTTCAATTGAAAAGTTACCTAAATAGATGATTTTTTCAATAAATCTGAAATGGAAAATAGGATGTTCATTCTAAATAGACATGGAAAAAACCACAACCAAATATTGACAGTATTTATATATATATATATTTATATATATTTATATATATTTATATATTTATATATTTATATATTTATATATATATATATATTTATATATATATATTTGTATACCTAAAATTGGGACTAAAATAGCTGAAGTGAACTTGTAGCTTTTGTTTTAATATTGTCCTTTGTGACTGTTCACAATTCACAAAATAGTTATGTTAGTTTGGGATGACAATCTGTTAATGATGCTTTAATTCTTGCCAGACACCAGCAGTATATTTCTGATACCGAATTTATTTTACTGTTTGAGTATAACTTGTCCAAACCATTATTCCCATACTGGAAATTTGAATTGTTTGATCTGGATTCTTGGGATGATGAAGAATGCAAGATGGAGCTGAGATTTGCCAAGTCAGACCTAGCTTTGTTAAAGCGTTTGCTCGGAATTCCTGACAAGATCACATGTCAGCATGGAACTACATGTTCTGGAATCGAAGGACTATGCATTTTGCTAAAACGACTCGCTTACCCATGCAGATATCCTGATATGGCTATCCGTTTTGGTAGAAACCCATCTGAGATATGCCTCATATTTAACAAAGTTCTGGATTTGGTCTATGATGGACACCACCACTGCCTGGAGTGTTGGAATCAACCTTTTCTGTCACCAGTGCTGCTCCAAAATTGTGCTGATGCAGTACTCATCATGACAAGGGTGCCCCATTGGAAAACTGTTTTGGGTTTATCAATGCAACTGTTCACCAAATTGCTAGACCGAGCTACTACCAGCGACAAATGTACAATGACCACAAGAGGGTCCATTCCATTAAATTTCAAAGTGTTGTGCTGCCCAATGGTCTTTATATTGCTAACCTGCTGGGCCATACGAAGGTAAAAGACATGACAGTACAATGCTTTGTGAACAGGGTTTCTAGCTTCCTCACGCCAGGTTGCTTTCCACAACAACCAACCACTTTGTCTTTATGGTACCCAGCTTACCCACTTGCAATCACCATTTAGAAATAGGGAACTTACACTTGAAATGAGGAACTTCAACAAAGGTATGAGTGATGTGAGAACTTCAGTAGAGTGGATGTTTGGTAACATCACAAAATATTTCAACTTTGTGGACTTTAAGAGGCAGATAAAAGTATATTTAAGTGTTATTGGAAAGATTTATTGTGTGGCTGCATTACTCCAGAATGCTTATACCAGTCTGTATGAGAATATCGTCTCCCAAACATTTCAACTACAGCCACCAACAATTTAATAAATATTTTTGGTGATATTTCACTAACAATTCTCCCAGGGCCATAGCTACAGGGGGATTGTGACACCCCCTGAAAATGTCTTGTTGGCAAAATAACAGATTTATCGGCAAATCATTTTTTGTATAGTCAACGAAAATATTTAACAAAAATATATCGACTCAGATAAAAAATAATAGTTATTTATAGCTAAAATATTGATAAATTTATTAAAATATTACAGAAAAATTTAAGAAATAACGGTACATTAATTCGAAAGTTAGTAAAAGATGGTATATCCAGAACATTTTTTTACCTCCCCCCTGCCAACAATTTTGGGAAAAGAGGGATTAATTAGGGGCTGAAATGTTGTCAGCAAATGCGATAGCACAACCCCCAAGCTGCTTTAACCTCTTCACCACAGTCCTGATGTCTCCACGCACTCACCATAGATTTTAGTTGTCAATAAGTATTATACTATATGTATAAAGTTATATACATTTAGTTATAAAAATTACCTTATATGTAAGTCTTTGCAATTTAATTTAAAATAATATAATTTAGTAATGTGAATATTTAAATGGTGCAAGAAAAAGTTACACAAATCAGGCCTGTCTTGCACTTTAAAGTTGACAGTTTACAATGTTACAATGTGTACAAGGCCTGCCTTTTGAAATATAATTTATTAATAATTGTCATAATTAAATAATATTATGTATTGAAAATGTTCAATAATAACTTCTTATTAACCGAGCGTGAGGTCTTTACAGAGAAATATTGGACAGAGGTCTTGTTGTACAGACCGAGCCTATAGGGCGAGGTTTGTACAAAAAGACTTGAGGTCTGATATTTCTCTGTAAAGACAGAGCAAGCAAGATTAATAAAAAGTTATTATATGGCATTTATATACTTGAAAACAATTTACAAATCTTATCAATAATAAAAAAGTGCCACATGCATGTATAGCCCAAAATAACAATGATATAATTGGTAAAATTACATAATAACTCTTACAATTCAACATATGTAAACAAGTTTTCAATCTTCATCATCGCTATCAATAATGATTCTACACTTTTGTCGATCTTCACATCTGAACAATCTTGACAGGACCATTAAAAAATTGAAACTTGCCAACCACTAAACCAGCTCTCAGAAGTATGTACGCAACATCGGTAGAAGATAATAGATCTCTCTCTGTACAGTTGTTGGATGAACTATCCAAATTAATAATCCAAATTAGATGATCGGATGCTGTAGTGTATTAGGAATTCATTATGTATAATTTATGTAAATCAGTTGGTATATAAAGTGTAGGCACATGTGAATAAAGGATTACAACATTACTACATTGGCGACGAGGATGGCTGAAAGCGTGTTGCCTCCTCCTACGAAGTTCAATATCGAAGCCACAGATGCATACATAGAATGGAAAGCTTGGATAGAGTCTTTTAATATCTATGCTGTAGCGGTCGAGCTCGAAAAAAAGTCGGATGGTGTCCAAACAGCGACAATGCTGCATTGCCTAGGGCCGGCGGTGCAAAGAATATTTAGAACATTGCCCAGCAAGAAAGAAAGTTTTAAAGAGGCAGTTGAAGCTCTTGAAGGCTATTTCGCGCCGAGAAGAAACGTCGTTGCTGAAAGACACAAGTTTCGCAGTCGAAAACAAAATGCTGATGAGACAATCAATGCGTATCTAACATCGTTAAGGGAATTGGTAAAAACGTGTGAATTCGGGGCGCTCGAAGACGAAATGCTAAGGGATCAAATCGTAGAAAAATGCTATTCAAAACAACTAAGAGAAAGACTCTTAGCTCAGGAAGAACTAGACCTGGCTAAGACCCTCAGAATAGCAAGAAGTAGCGAAAGCGCCATAAAAGAAGCACGACTCCTTTCTGGTCATGAAACAAAAGACAACATCATTAACATTGACCGCCTGAATAACCCTGACAAGCGAAATAGGAATTACAATAGTGAAAATTTCAAGTGCTATAGGTGTGGCGGCGTGGGCCACAAGCCAGCAGATTGTCGAGCCATAAGTATGAAATGTAATAACTGTCAAAAGTTAGGACATTTTGCTCGCGTATGTCGCTCGAAGGGTGTATCTCGAAAGCCGTATGAATCTCAAAAGACTTCGAGTAAAAAGACGAAAGCGCATAGAAACGTCCGTGCAATTCGACGCAAAGATTCAGATAGTAATGAATCGTGTATTGAAAGCGAATCCGAAGACGAACAGATTCTGTTCATGGAAGGGCAAGACAGTCCTGTCCAGATTACAATCAATGGTCGCAAGATAAAGATGGTCGCCGACACCGGTTGTAGGCAGAACATTATTTCTTCCCAGTTGTATACAGAGCAATTCAAAGAACACCCACTCAAAAGCACAACCAAACAGTTTGTGGCATATGGTCAGAAGGTACCGCTAACCTGCCTTGGTCGATTTAAAGCCAGTTTGAAAGCAGGTATGATGACTATTCATAGCTTTGTGTACGTAATTAAAGGCCAAGCCGAGTCGCTGCTCGGGAGAAAAAGCTGTTTTGACTTGGGAATATTCAAACAAGTCAAATTTGTGAAGCAGACTAACTCTAACTCTAAGAAGATTAATGACCCAAGATTGAACTCATTAGTTAATGAATATAATGACTTGTTTCACGGGTTAGGTCAAATTACAAATTATTAGCATAAAATTAAACTAGATCCAAATGTTAAACCAGTAAGCCAACGTCTGCGAAGAATTCCCCTTAGTCAAATAGAGCAGGTTAATGATGAAATTGATAAAATGTTGAAGGATGACGTCATTGAAGAGGTACCCGAACCAAGCCCTTGGGTTTCCAATCTTGTAGTGGTGCCTAAGGCATCAGGAGGTTTAAGGGTTTGCTGTGATTTTAGAGAGTTAAATAAAGCCATTGTAAGGGAACGATATGTCCTTCCCAAAGTAGAAGACACTTTGGATACCCTAAATGGCTCAAAATATTTTGCAAAAATTGATGCAAGAAGCGGATTTTTCCAATTAACGCTGTCAGAGGAATGTAGATATTTGACAACGTTTATAACAAACAAAGGCTGTTTTCGTTTCAAGCGTGTTCCGTTTAGGTTAAGCGATATCAGCGAAACCTTCCGAAAAGTCATGGAAGAAATTTTGTTCGGCCTAAAAGGGGTAGAAATCTCGGTAGATGACGTCATCGTCCATGCAGTAACGATAGATCAATTAATAAGTAGGCTGCACGAGGTATTTGAAAGGTGTAGGGAACGTAACTTAAAGTTAAACCCTAAAAAGTGCGAGTTTGGGCTTACCCAAATACCGGTGTTGGGTCATGTCGTGTCAGCCAAGGGTATTCAACCAGACCCGGTGAAAACAAAAGCAATTCAAGAGGCCCCTCCCCCTGCCAACGTTGCAGAATTGAGATCATTTTTAGGCGTTTGTGGGTATGTATCGAAGTTTATACCGAATTACGCCGAGCTGGTTGAACCCCTTAGGCGGCTGACAAGGCAAGGCACTAACTGGACATGGGATAGTGAGCAAGTAGAGTCGTTTGAGGAGTTGAAACGTGCACTTTCTAACGAACCAGTGTTGGCTTGTTTTAAGTTAGATGGTCCCACTGTTCTTGTGACAGATGCTAGTCCAGTAGGACTAGGTGGGGTTCTGTTACAGGAGCAAACAACAGGTGAGCTAAAGCCTGTCGCATATATAAGTCGATCTCTGACACCTACTGAAGCGCGATATTCGCAGATTGAACGCGAGGCACTGGCATGTGTTTGGGCGGCTGAAAGATTTCATAATTATGTTTTTGGTACTGAATTTACGTTGCTCACTGACAACAAACCATTAGTCAGTTTGCTTTCCTTAGATTGTAAAAAGATGTTGCCCCCACGGATTCAACGTTTGGCGTGGAGGTTGCATCAATATAAGTATAAGATAAAACATATTGAAGGTAAAATGAATATTGCCGACTCTTTCTCAAGGTTGCCTTTAAATGAATTAGATGAAACTAGTTCGGGTAACGTTGCGGATGAGTATGTCAAATTTGTGGTTGAAAATGATGTGCCTGACAATTGTGCGTTGTCGTTATCAGAGGTGAAAGAGGAAACGACAAAAGATAAAATTTTGACTAAAATTATGAATTTGGTTCACGTGGGTGCATGGCCAGCTGATGCTGATATTAAACCTTTTGAAAAGTTTCGGGAAGAGTTTTCGGTTTTCGAAGGTATTTTATTGCGCGGAAATCGTATTGTCGTTCCAACTTCTCTTAAGAAGCGGATTTTGAAACTTGCTCATGAAAGTCATGTTGGTATAGTGCGAACTAAGCAGTTGTTAAGGTCAAAATATTTTTGGATAGGTATGGATAGGGATGTCGAGTCTACGATTAAAGACTGCCCAGCATGCGCTGCAAGTAGACCGTTAAATAATAATACACCCTTGCAGCCAGTGCAGTTACCCAAAGCGCCGTGGTTAAAAGGTGCGGTTGATATCGTAGGTCCGATAGATAATAAGTACTTAGTAACCTATATCGACTATTACTCTTCCTTTCCTGAAGTGGCCATTACCCGAGACATAACCTCAAAAAGTATTGTTAAAATTTTGATGAATATATTTGCTAGGCATGGTTATCCTGAGGAAATTGTCTCAGATAACGGACCACAATTTATCAGTCAGGAATTTAGGCGTTTCTTGAGCTCTAAAGGAATTAAGCATGTACGTAGCTCGCCTTATTTCCCAAGAAGTAACGGGAAAATCGAACGGTTTCACAGGTATTTGAAAAAGAATTTCCAAGCTGTTACTCTTGAGGGTAGATCCTGGGAGGAGGAGCTCCCTAAACACTCGTACAGGAGTATTCCTCATCCCATGACAGGAAAAACTCCGGCAAGTTTGCTTTTTCATAGGGAGATACGTACAAAGCTTCCGTCAATTAAGTTGAATGTTGATGTGAGCTCAAGCAATGTAGAGGGAGATGCACGATCGTATCAAAAGCGAATGAAGTCTTATCACGATCGTAAACAACGTGCAAAAGCGCACTCGTTTGTGGTTGGTGATATGGTGTATCTTGCTAGGAGTAAGTGTGATAGTAATAGTAAGCTGAAGTCTAAATTTGACAATATTAAGTATGTGATTATAGACTTTGTAGGAAGAGATACTTGCAAGGTAGTTAATACATTAGACGGGAAAACATATATTAGAAATGTAAAGTTTCTGACTCGTGCTCCGATTGCGGAACGGGCATTAATATTCCATGACATGTTAGATAATAAAGAGGTTAAACCTAAATCTAACACTGGGGTAGAAACAGATAATTCTGCAAAAGATACTTTAATAAGAACGAGATCAGGACGTGTATCAAAGTCCACAAGATCTAAGGACTTTGTCTATTATTGAACTTTATCTAGTTATATCTATTAATACTATAATGTTTTCAAAAAAGAAGAAAAGAAAAAAAAATGTATTATAGAATATATAGGAAGTAGAATAATATTTGGAAATTGTTCCCGGGGGAAGATGTAGTGTATTAGGAATTCATTATGTATAATTTATGTAAATCAGTTAGTATATAAAGTGTAGGCACATGTGAATAAAGGAGGACAACATTACTACACCACGCGTTCACGAACATACTGCATTGATCTGAACTAGTGATCTCAATCAATAAATATTCAACTTGGATGTCTATGCCGTTGTATATGTTCGGCATAAACATTCAACTTAGATGTTTATGCCGTTGTATATGTTCGGCATAAACATTCAGTTTAGATGTCTATGCCGTTGTATACCGTATGTTCGGCATAAACATTCAACTTAGATGTTTATGCCGTTGTATATGTTCGGCATAAACATTTAATTAAGATGGTTATGCCGTTGCATATGTTCGGCATAGCCATTCAATTTGGATGGTTATGCCATTGCCTGTCTTCGGCATACCCATTCAACTAGGATGGTTATGCCGTTGACTGTCTTCAGCATAACCATTCAACTAGGATGGTTATGCCGTTGAGTGCCTTAGGCATAACCATTCAACTCGGATGATTATGCCGTTGACTGTCTTCGGCATGGTAGAAACCACGGCAGTTAGATGTTTATGCCGTTGTATATGTTCTGCATAAACATTCAATTTAGATGTTTATCCCGTTGGATATGTTCGGCATAAACATTCAACTTAGATGTTTATGCCGTTGTATATGTTCGGCATAAACATTCAATTAAGATGGTTATGCCATTGCATATGCTCGGCATAGCCATTCAATTTCGCCGGTTATGCCATTGCCTGTCTTCGGCATAACCATTCAACTTGGATGGTTATGCCGTTGACTGTCTTCGGCATAACCATTCAACTTGGATGGTAATGGCATTGCTTGTCTTCGGCATAACCATTCAACTTGGATGGTTATGCCGTTGACTGCCTTCGGCATAACCATTCAACTTGGATGGTTATGCCGTTGACTGCCTTCGGCATAAGCATTCAACTTGGATGGTTATGCCGTTGACTGTCTTCGGCATAACCATTCAACTTGGATGGTTATGGAATTGCCTGTCTTCGGCATAACCATTCAACTTGGATGATTATGCCGTTGACTGCCTTCGGCATAACCATTCCACTTGTATGGTTATGCCGTTGAATGCCTTCGGCATAACCATTCAACTTGAATGGTTATGGCGTTGACTCGGTAAGTAGGAACATACCGTTTGCTTTCAACCTGAGGAAATATTTTTGGAGAAATGTTTATGCCGTTGTATACGTTCAGCATAAACATTCAATTAAGATGGTTATGCCGTTGCATATGTTCGGCATAGCCATTCAATTTGGATGGTTATGCCATTGCCTGACTTCGGCATACCCATTCAACTAGGATGGTTATGCCGTTGCCTGGCTTCGGCATAACCATTCAACTAGGATGGTTATGCAGTTGACTGCCTTCGGCATAACCATTCAACTTGGATGGTTATGCTGTTGACTGTCTTCGTCATAACCATTCAACTTGGATTGTTATGGCATTGCCTGTCATCGGCATAACCATTCAACTTGGATGGTTATGCCGTTGACTGCCTTCGGCATAACCATTCAACTTGGATGGCTATGCCGTTGACTCGGTTCGGCATAGCCGTTCAACTCAGATGTTTATGGCGTTGAATATGTTCCGCATAAACATTTGGCTAAGGTAAGTAGGAATATACCGCTTGCTTTCAACCTGAGGAAATATTTTTGCATATGTTCAACATAGCCATTCAATTTGGATGGTTATGCCATTGCCTGTCTTCGGCATACCTATTCAACTAGGATGGTTATGCCGTTGACTGCCTTCGGCATAACCATTCAACTTGGATGGTTATGGCATTGCCTGTCTTCGGCATAACCATTCAACTTGGATGGTTATGCCGTTGACTGCCTTGGGCATAACCATTCAACTTGGATGGTTATGCCGTTGACTGCCTTCGGCATAACCATTCAACTTGGATGGTTATGCCGTTGACTGCCTTCGGCATAACCATTCAACGTGGATGGTTATGCCGTTGACTGTCTTCGGGATAACCATTCAACGTGGATGGTTATGGCCTTGCATGTCTTCGGCATAACCATTCAACTTGGATGGTTATGCCGTTAACTGCCTTCGGCATAACCATTCAACTTGGATGGTTATGCCGTTGAATCGGTTCGGCATAGCCGTTCAACTCAGATGTTTATGGCGTTGAATATGTTCCGCATAACCATTTGGCTAAGGTAAGTAGGAATATACCGTTTGCTTTCAACCTGAGGAAATATTTTTGGAGAAAAAAAAGAATTAGTAATTTCCGAATATTTCTTGGTGCGAAAATATAAAAAATTGTTGGGCGGGAATCGATCCATTACGCATTTGACGTCTGTGGTTTCTACCACTGTACCACGCGTTCACGAACATACTGCATTGATCTGAACTAGTGATCTCAATCAATAAATATTCAACTTGGATGTTTATGCCGTTGTATATGTTCGGCATAAACATTCAACTTAGATGTTTATGCCGTTGTATATGTTCGGCATAAACATTCAATTTAGATGTTTATGCCGTTGTATATGTTCGGCATAAACATTCAACTTAAATGTTTATGCCGTTGTATATGTTCAGCATAAACATTCAATTAAGATGTTTATGCCGTTGTATATGTTCAGCATAAACATTCAATTAAGATGGTTATGCCGTTGCATATGTTCGGCATAGCCATTCAATTTGGATGGTTATGCGATTGCCTGACTTCGGCATACCCATTCAACTAGGATGGTTATGCCGTTGCCTGGTTTCGGCATACCCATTCAACTAGGATGGTTATGCCGTTGACTGCCTTCGGTATAACCATTCAACTTGGATGGTTATGCAGTTGACTGTCTTCGGCATAACCATTCAACTTGGATTGTTATGGCATTGCCTGTCATCGGCATAACCATTCAACTTGGATGGTTATGCCGTTGACTGCCTTCGGCATAACCATTCAACTTGGATGGCTATGCCGTTGACTCGGTTCGGCATAGCCGTTCAACTTAGATGTTTATGGCGTTGAATATGTTCCGTATAAACATTTGGCTAAGGTAAGTAGGAATATACCGTTTGCTTTCAACCAGAGGAAAAATTTTTGCATATGTTCAACATAGCCATTCAATTTGGATGGTTATGCCATTGCCTGTCTTCGGCATACCTATTCAACTAGGATGGTTATGCCGTTGACTGCCTTCGGCATAACCATTCAACTTGGATGGTTATGCCGTTGACTGTCTTCGGCATAACCATTCAACTTGGATGGTTATGGCATTGCTTGTCTTCCGCTTAACCATTCAACTTGGATGGTTATGCCGTTGACTGCCTTCGGCATAAGCATTCAACTTGGATGGTTATGCCGTTGACTGCCTTCGGCATAACCATTCAACTTGGATGGTTATGCCGTTGACTGCCTTCGGCATAACCATTCAACTTGGATGATTATGCCGTTGACTGTCTTCGGCATAACCATTCAACTTGGATGGTCCTGCCGTTGACTGCCCTCGGCATAACCATTCAACTTGGATGGTCCTGCCGTTGACTGCCCTCGGCATAATCATACAACTTG